CCTCCTCTTTGCTCATGGCTTTTCACTTCAGCAGACAGGCTCCATGTGCCTGCCAGCCCATTCCACCAGGCCTCCTCCTCCTCCCTGCTCTGGGACTGCTGTGGGCTGGGGGTTCAGGGAGTTTTCCTTCAGCAGCTTTTCATCACCATTTCTGAAGCCAGCTCTTTGCACAGAGCTTTGGGATTTAATGCAACATAAAGACCTTCCAAAACTGTTTTCCATTTCTAAAACCAGTTCTATCTTTAGTTCACTCCTTTCTGAAACTGGCAGTGGCTGGATTCTGGCAGGGCAGGTACAGCTGCTCCTGCAGGCTCCTCTGCAGCCAATGGTGAACTCTGTGCTGTGCTGGAAATGCAGCGAGCTCTCCATTGCCATTGCTTGGTGCACCCCCAGACCACCCCCAAGCTGCTCTGCAGCCCCCCAGGTTGGCATTGTCTGCTCCCAGCCTCCCTCCATGTCCATGCACATCCTGGAGCGCTGCTGGGCTGTGACCTGCATGGCAATGACAGAGGCACCGGTGGTGAGTGGCAGCTCAGGGCTGTGGGGTTTGTGAATTCAGAGGGTATCTCTCAGTCTGTCACAGGCACTGCTGCTCTCTGGGGCCCAGCAGTCCTGCGGCTTTCCCTCCTCCCTTGTGAGCAATTTATTTCCTTTACTGACAGACAACTATTGACTTCTCATTCTCCTGAAGATGAGATGTCTTGTCTCATCAGGTTTAAATTAGTTTTATCTTTAGCCTTTCCTATTAATAAGCTCTCATCGTGGTGTCATTACTTGATATCTATTTTCTGATGTTTTTCATTAATGGCTCTGTATCTTCCAGATATTTTTTTCAAGTATTTTTTTTCCTGCTGCTGAGTTATTTAACAGTCAGACACAGATCAGGGACATGAAGACAGTCTGATGCTGGTCAGGGACAGCGTGGAATGGCCCAGCACCACTTGGTGGGCAGGGCAGGGCACTGGGACTGTGATGGGGCAGCAGTGGGGCTGCATGGGGCTGGCAGGGATGGTCATGCATTCCCTCCCTGTCTCTCTGCATCCCTCTGATCCCAGCCTGAGCTCTGACACGCCTGAGGCCCTCAGGAGCACGAGTCAATAGAGTAATTAAAATGCCTCCCCTGAGGCGAAGGTGCTGCAATTCCTTTGGACAGCTGTATCTGTGAAAAATAGAGGACTGCTTTCTGTGCTTTGTGTGCCTGCCAGGGGCTCTTCCCCTTCAGCAGAACTTCCACTAGGATGTGTGAAAGGGAATTATTTCACATTATTTCAAGGGGGCCCGTGCCCAGGTAGTACTGCCCGCCTGAGGACAGGGAGGGCTGTCAGTACAAGGACAAGGCAGGGCTTTCTCATTATATCTCCAAGGGTGTCAAAAGCAAAGTCCATCAGTGCTGAAAATACCCAAATCTCAACGTCACAGCCCTACATTTACTTCTTGCATTAAGGAGAAGGAGAAAGGTGTCCAATTTCTGGAGAGCAAACACAGGGATGACAACAGCCTGATGCACAGTGTCATGTCTAATGGAGCTGTCAGGGTGTTCAGGGACACTGCCAGGGATGTGTTTGCCACTTAGAGAGCGAGGTCATTGCGGGATCCCTGGCCTGCCCCGGCTGTGGCTCCCATGTAGGAATTAGAGTGGCTGCAGGATGGGCAATCTGCAGCAGCGCCTCCAGCAGAGGGTTTGAGAGTGATCAATATTCAGCACACTGCTGTGAAAATGAACAGCCAGAAAGGATTGTCCTCCTCCCGTTCCTGCATCCACGAGGACAGTGAGTGGAACAGAAATGGGATTCACTTTTGGTAATGCTGATTATGGGGTTTTGAGACTAAACAAGGTGCTCTCTTCTCTTTGGGTTATTTAGTGTCTTTTAATCTGTTCCTTCCTTTTTATTTTTTTAAATTTTTTTTTGTCATCTTTCTGTAGTTTAACTACAGGAAGTTTAAAAAAGAATAGTAGAAGGCTTTGGTTGAAGCTATCAGAACCAAACAGGAGGCAATTCCAAAACCAGCTTCCCTTTTAAAATGGGGAAAATGCTGACATTTCATTAAAGGGAAGATTCTTCCCACAGTTTTTTATTCTTATCCAAACTCCATTTTGAAAAGCCCTTATACAGTTGGTGGAAAAGCTTTCCCTATGCCATGCTCAGCAGCCAGTACAGCAGAGCCTGGCAGGAGCAGTGGCAATGCTGACAGTACCCCTGGGATGCTCTGCACAGCAGACAGGTGTCATTGAGTGCAGAAACCTGGCAGAGGCTCAGACCAGCCTCCACAGGGGAACCCAGTAGGGTGAGAGGAACCTCAGGAAAAACCCCATCAGTGCCCTTGCTGCCAGAGCTGGCAAAGATCTGAGCTGTTGCAGAGTCACCTGGGGTGGTGGCAGCAGCAGGGACATCCCCCATGGCACCATTGTTGTTAATATTGGTGGGTCAGAGCAGTGCAGGTGCTGCTGCTGTCCTCACAGGGCTCACAGTGGCCAGTGGCTCCCTACCCCTGCCTCTGGCAGCAGAGGTGGGCCCCAGCCTGATGGCACTGTGCCACTTGGAGAGATTTGGGGCTTGGCATTTCGGGTTACTGAGGAAATATTTACACCTCTTTTTGCAATCATTCACAGAATGGGGCTTGGCAAGCTCCTTCATCCTCCTCCTTCTGCTTCTTTACTGGAACTGGAAACTGAGGGTGCCCAATGAGGTGTTATGATTCAATAGCTTGGGCCAAGCACTGCCACCCATCCTGTCCTCGTCTGGCAGAGCTCTGCCACTGTCATCAAAGGGCACCTGGCATCTGCCCTTCACCTTTGTGCTCTGAGCACACACCAAGGTCCATTCCCAGAGCCCCAGGTGTGGGTGTTACAGCAGCCAGAGTGAGGTGCTCTGGGTGCAGCCCAGATGTGCCCAGTGCCCACACCTCATTAGCATTGTTACCTCTGCTGTTAATTGGCAGGGCAGGGGTGGCATTGGCTGCTCGGGGTAGGGCTCACTCACAGTGGTGAGATAAAGGGAGTGAAGGAGCAGCAGGAGGGGCTGGGCTGTGGTCCTATGGCACAGGTGACACCTCACCCACACCGTTACCTTGGGAAAGGAGCAGTGAGAACCTCCAAGGTTTTCAGGGGAACATTTAGCCACTCAGAAGATGTGAGCAGGAGCCCTGGCAGCGTGGTACCAGGAGGATGCTGGCTGCAAACTCTCAGCTAACAGCACCAGGACTCCCCTGTGCCTGTTGGATGGGGCTCTGAGGCCCTGGGCAGGAGCAGAGGGACCCACTCTGGGCAGAGGCAGAGAAGGGTATAGGTGCTGCCCACCAGGAACGCCCAGCAGAGCCGATGTGGACACTTGGAAATGGTTGGTAGCACACGGTGCTGTGCCGCTGGATCTGGAGGCTGCAGGGTTTGGGCATCTGTCCCTGGCCCCTCTCACCAGGCAGCTGTTCTGCTCCAGGGCTGTGGCACAGCCAGCCCCAGGGTGAGGCTTGATGCCATGTAGCCAGGAGCGAGCTCCTGTGCCCAAGAGCTACTGCCACTGCTCTCCCCGGGGTCCTGGGGGTGCCAGCCCCAGCCTGGGGGGGAGCTGTCTTCCTGGGGCCCCAGGGATGTGTATGTTCATGTCAAACAGCTCCCAGCTCACTGGCAACAGGCAGGAGCAGGAATACACACTAAAAGAACCAGCAGCTCAGGGACAGGGGCAGAATAAATCTGCATAAATACAAATGAGGGGAATATTTATTTGCCACATTGACCATGTTTCTGTAGCTACTTTAAGCTGTGAGAGTGGGGGTCTGGCAGCCTGGGCAGGGTTTGGGCTCCATTCAGGCCTGGCTCTGAGGCTGCAGCCCCTGTGGCTCCCCTCCTTTCCAGCAGACTCACCTATTCAATATTCCTCACATGTGAGTTACTCCTGTAGCTGATGGGAGAGATAAATAACAAAACCCTTGCAAATGCAAAAATCCTTTGGCAGTTTGGAAAGGAACTAAGTCACATGCTGAATGCAGATGAAGAAAAATCATTTTTATTGTAAGGAGTAACAGAAGGGTGTGAATCTTCCTCAAATCCACCTCACCCACAATGCAGCACATCCAAATCCAGTTGGAGATTACAAGGCAGGATAGCATTCACTCTGATCAGTTCAAAGCGTCGCTGTTTGGGAACAAATAGGCTGAGTGTGCGCCTGGATTAGGCTGGGGGCTTTTTTGCCTCTTTTTAACAGTATGAAATCACTGGAAACAGCAAAAATCCCTTTTGAAATGGTAAGCCAATCAAGAAGCAGAAGGAGAGCAAAGTGTTTACAGCTCATTGAATTCGTCCCTTTCCCTTTTTTCTCTTCCCTTCTCAGAAGGATTTGGGCAGTTTGGTGCAGTCTCATGAAATTCCTGAGGGGAGCAAACCCCTGCCTCACTGTTTGCATCCAGCACCTGGAATGTCCCCTCTGTGCTGAGCCATTACCTGGCCTAAACCCCAGCCCAAGTGAAGCTGTGGTGGGTGTGAGGGAAAACCAGGGGATCAAAGTCATCCTTTCATCAGTGAGTGCCATAACAAGTGGTTTGTGGCCATGACAGCCAGGAGGGACACAGGCAAGACCTGGGGCTCCTGCCTCCACAGTCACAGTGTCATCGACATGGCTAATCATTGACATAGCTAATTACCAATATGGCTAATTATCGACATAGCTCACTGCTGGCACACAGATTATCATTGGCACAGATAACTCTAGGCTGGACAGAGACACTAAAATCTGAGAAGGCTGAAATGTGGAGCAGAAGAAAGAGTGTTTTTCTTGGTTGGGTTTCTCCATTTTCATGTCTATTCTCCACCTACTGAGTTGGTTTCATCCCTTCCCTCCTCCTCCTCCTTGGGAATCGCCTGCAGGGGGACCTGGGGGAATACCAGAGTTGAGATTTTAGACTGCCAGGTAGCAGGGTCAGGACTCTTCTCACCCAGCCCAGGGTCTGGCACTGGCACAATTGGCAGCAGAGCTCTGAGCCAGGTCCCAGCCAGCAAATCCTCCTTACCCGGGGGTGCTGCCAATCCTGCAGCTACGGCTGTATCCTGGGATTGACACCTGCAGCTGGGGGAGAGACACCCAGGTCAGTGCACTCCCTTCTCCCGGTGCCCAAAGCCTGACAGTCCCCTGGTGTCCCCCACCCCGGGATCAGGCTCAGCAGTGCCTGATGTACCAGTGGCCTGAGAGGCCCCAGCTTTATGGGCAGAGATGATTTAGTGCCCTCAGGAACACGGCTCTGGGGAAGCTGGGAAGACTTCCAACTCTTCCTTCCCTTCCCTATATATTAACTTTCCATGCATATGAAGCTGAAAGCTCTTCCAATCACCTCTGCAAATATTAATTAATCCTCGCAGCATCCTGAGGACCATTATTCACTCTTATTAAGCAAATATTATTAAATCCTTTTATAAGAGGTGAAGTGACTTTTCCAGAGCTGTGCAGGGCACAAGTAGGAATGCACAGACTTTCTCTTGCTACTGTATTCCAGACCTGCCACTGCACAAGGGCAAAGCTGCTCGTATCTGAGCTGGGGACCATCTCTGAGGACCAGGGGCCCCAACCACAGCACTGCCATGCCCTGTGAGGTACAAGTGCTCTTGGGACTGTTTAGAGATGCACAGCACTTGGCAGCTCTGCTGCACCCCAGAGCCATGAGAACCCTCCCCACTCTTGGCCACTACCCAGGACTGTGTCCCCCATTTCAGCTGCCCCCTTCTGGCTCACAGACACCAGTGGGGATCCCTGTGGCAGCACTGGGGCTGGACTTACTCTGAAGGAGCCAGTCGATGAAGGTGCTTGGGAAAGGGGAATTCTGCAAAGAACAAGGAGGTGTTAGAGCATGTGAATGTGGGGACATGGGATGGAAAACGGGGTGGGACATGGCTCTACCTGCAGATCCAGCTCCACATACTGCCCAGCTGTCACTGGCAGTTTGGGGAGGGCAGAGTAGATTTTCCCCAGAAGCCCAAAGGAGACGACACCTGGGGAGAGGGAGAGGCCATCCAGGCTGGGCAGAGCTGTCTGGGGGTCACTGAGCCTGCTGGAGCCCTGTGCCCACCCAGAGCATCTGGCAGAGGCTGGCACAGCACTGTCCTGCCCAGCAAGGAGGAAAAACTCCTTGTCCTTCCTTATAGATCTCAAATTCCCTGGGGTTCAAGGGTTCCCATGAAAGTGCTACCCTGGAGCTCGCAGATCCTGACACAAGGGAAATGTTGGGAGGAACAGTTCTGCTTTCAGTGAAGCAGCAATTGTGTGTGAGGTTTGACATGAACAGAGCTGGGGAGGGGAAGCCCTCTGGCTCTGTGGGGCTGCACCTGGCGGTCCTGGCATAGCCAACTCTTGGCAGCAGATTGGGTCTTGGATCCCTGGTTAGAAAAACACCCATAAGACACCCCCTGTGGTGTCTGGCAGTGGTGGTGAGCCAGGACTGTGCCACCCACAGCAGCTTTGCCAGCAGAGAAAAGCTGCTCCTGCTCCATGCAGAGACCCCTGCTTGCACAGCTCCAGCTCTCCTGAGAACACTTGCTGCCCGTGGAGGTGGGAGACACACAAACACCAAGTGTCATTCTAAAACTTAATATAGGAAAGAAAATGTCATGACTTACGGTTGAGGATTTGCAGATTAATGTTGATGATCCTGACCCACATGTTCACTAATGGGCAGAACTGCAATGGCAACAAGTGGCACAGTCTTGGTGAGAGCACTGTGGGTGCAGCAGCTCGTGCAGCACCACTTGAGTTTCACAGATTTAAATCAGAAACATCCTGATTTCATCCTAGAGCACAGTACTTCCATGGAAAAAGAGCTATATGATTTGTTCAACCCCCTTCTCAAAATGGCACAGGTTCTACTGAACAAGGTAAAAGATCCTTTAAAAGGCCACTTTGCTCTAAACGGGACTGTTACTTCTGGGCACCCCCACAGGGAGCAGCTGAGTATAAATTACCCCATAACATCATATGATGAAATTGAAATTACTCCTAACAAATAAATTCTGACTATAAGGAAGATCAAGCAATTTTGTGTAACTCACTTATGGGCTGCAGGCATGTATCTGTGCATGCACAAATATATATTGTGTGTGTATGTATATATATGTATATGTATATATATAATAGATATTGTTCCTGCCAAGGGTAGGGGAATTGGAACTAACTAACCTTTGAGGTCCTTTCCAGTCCAAACTGTTCTGTGATTCTGTGTGTGTGTGTGTAAATCTACCAGGCAGTTCTGGCAGGAGAACTGAGTGCAGCTTAAATGCAGCTTTACAGCAAAGAATATTCAGACACTCACCAGCGCAGGGACAAGGGACTTAAGAGACTTGTTCACCAAGCTGCTCACCAGATTAGTCAAGAGGCTGGGGAGGGAAAAGACAGACAAAAATTACCAGAGAAGTTTTCAAAACCCAGGATATGATATCAAGAAAAAACTGCGCTCCTCTGTAGAGGAGCCCCCACCTCTTCTCTGATAAGAGATGCTGCAAGCCCAGAGCTCCCCCATGCTTCAACAGGAATTACAGATGCTCAGGACTTTGTTATCTGAATCCCAAAATCTGCTTGTTATGCTGCCAATATGTGCCTAGATTTGAGATTTAAGTTCTGCCAGCTTGCAGGAGCTGACCCCACACTCACCCTTTCCGCAGGTTGACCCTGAAGCCGCCAAGGAGGTTGCTGCAGTCCTTAAGCACCAGCTTAAGGTCACTGGGAGAGTCCTGGGTCAGGGCAATGTGTGATGTGATGTTTGCTTCTACTGAGGATCCACTCAGAAACTGAAGAATCCTAGAAAACAGGAAGTGGCATGGAAGGTTATGGAGGAAGCCAAAGCAGCACCAGAGACTGGTGAAGCTGCAAGCACAGCCTTAGCTGGGACAGTGCCTCAGTTCTGGGACTTCTTTCAGGCTCCTTGTCCTGTAGCAGATCACAGAACATAGAATTGTTCAGATTAGAATTTCCCTCTAAGATCAAGAAGCCCAGTTATCAACCCAGCAGCACCACCATGTTCACTAAACCATGTCCTCCAGAGCCATATCCACATGTTTTTTGAATGTGTCCATGGATGGTGAGTGTCTGTGGAGTGAGGACAGTTGGAAATGTTTCCAGAGAGAGTCAACAGCACAGCTTTCCTCTCCAGCCTCTTGCTCGGTGTTTGGGGATGTTTGTCCAGCACTCAGGAGTGTCCCATCCTCCCCAGCGGCCTCAGGTCCCCTGGCCTCACTCTCTAGCCTCACTCACCCTGGAAAGCGGAGCACCAGCTTCGAGTACAGGTTCAGCACAAGCTCAGTCCCACGAAGGACCTTCCATGACACTCGGGCATTCTCGAGGTTCAGCACCTTCAGCCTGGGGGTTGACACCAAGGCAAACCCACCTTGAGATGGCAGGATCAGCAGGAGCAGATCCTACAGTCCCATCTCTTCCTGCTCATCATTTGACCTGGGGATATTCCCAGGTAAAAGTGAAGGTGGGGAAGGACCAATTCCCGCTCCACAAGCAGCATGGTCAGGTTTCTCAAGACTATGTCCTCCTGAGTCTCAGCCATCTCCATGGGTGGAGATTCCCCCACCTGCTGTGTTGCCCATGGCAGTGTCACACCACTCCCACAGGTAAGATTTTTCCCATTTCTGGTTGGAATTTCCCCTGCTGCAGATTCTCATGAGAGGGAGGGTGTGATCCCCTGGATATTATGGGCCACTCTGCAGTGAGCCCCACCATGGGGCTTCTGACTCACCAGGCGAAGCGTGTCATCTCCTGGGAGGCTCCACCATCCAACAGTCCTGCTCCTGCACCCAGCAGTCCTCCTGCTTCACCCAGAAGACCATCAAGTCCAAGCAGACTTCCATTGCCTAGGAGACCTCCTTTTCCAAGCAGCCCTGCTCCAAGCAGACCTGTCTCTCCAAGAAGGCTGTTATTGCCAAGGAGGCCATTGCTGAGGAGACCCTTAGCAAGTCCTTCCCCACCAAGGAGGCCTGTTGCAAGGCCTTTCCCACCAAGGATTCCTGTGCCAGCTCCTTCTCCACCAAGGATTCCTTTGCCAAGTCCTTCTCCACCAAGGAGGTTTGGGCCAAGTCCTTCACCAAGGAGGTTTGGGCCAAGTCCTTCACCAAGGAGGCCTGCACCAAGGCCTTTCCCACTGAGGATGCCTGTGCCGAGCAGCCCATTGCTGCCAGGTTGTCCTCCTGCAACAGCCAGAACTTTGTTACTCTCCTGTCCTTTACCACCAGAAGCCCTCCTCTCCCAAACCCTCCCTGTACCTCCTCACCTAGGAGGCCTGTGCCGAGGAGCCCAGCTCCGCTGGGTTCATTTCCTGCACCAAGGGGACCTCCGCTTTCTGCTCCACTTGGACTTCCTTCGCCCAGGAGGCCAGTGCCAAGCAGCCCACCTTCACCAAGAGCACCTGTGCCAGGCAACCCACTTTTTCCACCGGTGAGACCACTGCTAAGCAGGCCTGCAGCAAGAGAGTCCCAGTTACTGATTGGACTGCCACTCCTGGGAGGATTTCATTGACAGGGAAGGTTGGTTTGGCCACGTTAGGGTGCTCTGCTGGTGAGCTCTCAAAGGGAGCCCTGAGCATCCTTGGACAAAGCTGGGTTCCTCATGGAGATGGGCCTGCCAGGAGGCAGCTCCCTGATGAGCAGAAGGACATAGCATGAGCCCAAAATGGCACAGGACTGTGCCATGACTCTCCCCTGGAAACACAGAAAATATCTGAACTCACCACTGATGGGCTGTGCTGCATTCAGGAGGTTGAGGAGGCCCTGGGAGGGGGGAAGAAGGCCCCCAAGAAAGATGAGACACCAGAAGGGTGGCATGTCCTGGCACAGCACCTGTGGGAAGACCACATCATCCCAAGCACCAGTTTCACATGGGTATTGACAGCCTGGGCACTGGCGCAGTTCTCCATCCTTCATGTGCACTACCCTGGGGCGGTGGGGAGATTCCTCCTGGACATACAGCCTGCAGACACCATGCCCTCATCCCAGGAGGTCAGCCCAGACCTGCAGCCCCCTTTTCCCACTTCTGGTTATCAGGGAGCAGCTGAAGCCCAGTGCCACACTGCTCCAGAGCCATCGACGTCTCCACGCCTGACTGTGCTCCCCCCATGCAGAGCTGGGGGCCTGACCCTGCAGGGAAGTGAAAATGCCATTTTAAGAGAGGAAGAGGGATGGAGATGAGGCAGGAGGACCTTGTACTGAGAGAGACGGATGGCTCCCAACCACTCTGAAATGGCCCTGAAAGAGGAACACTCACAGGGGCACAGCTGAATAAAAAATGACGGGTGTCACAGTCGTGTCCTTCTGCCCGCTGGGAAGAGCACCCTGTGTTATTAAAGCTCAAAGCATGGCCAGAATCAGACTCACTTTCCCGTGGGCAGGTTGTTTGTTTTTCTCATCTTGTTCCACTCAAGCTGTGAAAAGAGTCTGTTTTCCCTGCGTTTGATCTACCCTCAGCCAAAAGAAAGTACCTTCAAGGACCTTCTGTTCCTGCCCGAGCTGGGCTCCTCAGGGTGACAGCGCAGGCTGGAGAGTGTTTGTTTATGCATGGAAAGGTGTTTGCAAAGAAATGAGAAAATGGTCTCCCTGCAGCACTGCCAGGGGTCTCAGCCCTAGGAGCATTTTCCTGGACAGCCCGTGTCCTAAACAGACACCTCAGCTTGTCCCTCCCGAGAAAAACAATGTGCAGGTGCAGATTGCAGAGGTTCAGCACAGAGAAATAACATTATTTAGGTCAGACTGAACAACTTCTTTATCTCTTCCAGATACTTTAAAAAAATCCCTCTATGACAGTTCTCGGCACAATTAAATTAGACTTTAATTCACTCGACTGTCTTTTACATTTTCCCTTTGATCAGCACGTAATGATGCACAGCTCCTGTAGCTGTGATTATTGAACAGGGGAGAAGGAGAGAGGCTCGAGCAGCTTCTATTGAAAATCGTGTCAAATAAAATCAGTGGGATTTGTTGGAGGGGCTCTGAAAGATGTGTGCAGCATTGCAAAAGGGTACCAGAATGGATGTCAGGGCTCTTAGAAGAGCTCTTGGAGAATACGTGACCATGCAGGCACCTATCTCTGCAGTTATTAACAATATCTACCAAGGTGCTGCGCCTCGGTCACGCACATTTCAGTGAGCCAAGCATCTTGCACATGCAAAAGGCACGTCTGGCTTTGCAGATAAACACTTATTTTACACCAGCTGAGATGAGGTCTGGAGAGCTGAAAATTGCTCTGAATTCTGGTCACCAAGATCATGAAAAAACTCCCAGTCCTTTCTGCCAGCTTAGTCATTATCACAAACTTAACAGCAACAGGAATAAATGTGGAATTTAACAAGCAAGAGCTCTGCTGGCTTTAAAAATTAATTTTCATAAATGATTAAATGCTGCTACAGAAATCAAAGGAAAGCATCATTAAAATTCCTGCTTTTCAAGCTGAGCTATTCTGTGCTGTAGGTCGCCTGATGGAGCTGGCACGGTGGCCACGGTCCTTCAGTGCCACTTACCTGGACCCTTTGATGTCGAGGTGGAGCAGCCCATGGTCACGGCTGCTGGCAGCTGCTTTTATATACCCGAGCTGCAGGAATGAGGAAAGCCAAGGAAAGGATGGAGCAGGGACAGTTCCCTTTTACTGGCTGTGAAGTGTGACCCCTGCACCAGCCTGACACTGAACACCACACGCTGCTTCCAGCCAGCCCAGCAGCTCACCCCTCACCCTGGGTGTGGTGCCCACCCACCCTGGGAATGTCCCAGGGCTGGTTCAGGACAGCTCTGCACCATTATGTGGAGCAGAATGAGTCCAAGGACAGTGAGAGGTAAGGAATTACCTCCCAACGAGCTAATTACATACAGAAACCTCACAAATTGCAAAACAAATGAAAGAGAGTGTGGGTTTGTGGCACACCGTCTGCTCTGAGAAAACTGCCTGTGCCCCAGGGGCAAGCAGGAGCTGCTGTGTGTCCAAGAAAGATCTCCACAGTTCAAAGGAGGCTTGAGAGACACCAGATAAAAGAAAACAGGGGAATAAATAGAGGGGAAAGGAAAAGGAGCATCAAAGATGACAGGAAAACCTGATTCTGGTGTTCCTGGTGTGTTTCAGGGTGGATCTGGCTGGACCAGGGCAGGGCAGTCTCACAAGCAGTGATGCTGCAGCTGTCCCAGCTGCTCCTGCTCACCCCAGCAGCAATGGGTGGCTTTAGAGCCTTAAGTTTGCAGAGGTTTCATGTGGTTCATGCAGAGTTCAGAGGCATTGCTGGGTGATTTCCCACCCGATCCCTAAGTGCTCCCAGGACAAAGCCCCAGTAAAGCCCAGGACAGGTCAGAGTGTGATGGGTGCCCAACATGATCGAGATACCGCACAGCTTTGGGCTCGTGCCCTGAAGAGTCTGACAGGTTTGGGTCTGACACAGCATTTGCTGGCAGAGCTCTGCTCCCCCTGAGCTGGGGGTGGGCAAAGGGGACTGCAGCCCTCCCACCTGAGATCTGTCCTGAGCCCAGGGGTTTCACCAGAGCCGGCCACCCCCACAGGCCTGAGCACCTGCTGTGGCTGCAGAGAGGGCTGGACTTTATTGAACCTGAGCACAAGAATGCAAAGTACACCCACACCCTTCCGAGCACCCACAAAAGAGTTCAAACCACAATGTTCCATGGAAAACACACGTCTTCCTTCTGCTCAAGAACGCAGGCAGGGATAACACCCTGCTGCTGTTGTGCCATGCTGGGTATAGAGAGGCACTCAGGATTCTCAGGCAAGTGAAGTCAATTTTCAGCAGCCTGGAGAGGAGAATCCTCTCTCCCAGCACACCTGTGGGACACACACCAGCCCAGCACAGTGCCACAGGAGGGGAGGTCACTGCTGAACTTGTCCCCAGGGCTCAGCCCCAAATTCCATCCCCTCTATGTGCAGCCTCTGTCTCCTCAAGGTGGCCTGTGGTCAAAAAAAGAGGTCAGGGCTGGGGTGGTTCCTCCAGCCTCTGACCAGGCTGCAGCCTAGGGAAACTGGGCTTTGCATCTGTGGGGAAACTGCCCTGTGGTGAGGAGAAACTACAGAAGGAATTTCTGCATGGGTTGTTCCTTCATACATATGTTATTCAGAAGGCAGAGGGACATCACCTGAGTGGATCACCATCACCTCTGCTGCAGCCGTGAGCTGGATCACACCTGTATTTTTCTTTAAGGTCACCACTGGTGCTGTGGGGACTGCAACTTCCATCAGCAATTCATGTGGCTCAGGGTATGCCTTGAGAATCTGGCAACACCCAAAAATGAAAAGTTTCTGCTGGTGGGAGCACAAACAGTGACCAGCAGCTGCAGAGCAGGTTGCCCACTGATGCAGCAATTGCACAGTGCTGCTCTCCAGGACAGGTCTGATCCTGAATTCCTCGGGAATTCCTGTACCTCAGCTGAAGGAGTTCATCAGGAAGCCCAGTGGGAGGAGCTGGTGTCCACTGTGGGTGGCAGGGGTGGCAGAGTGGCCTGTGGGGGTTTGGGGACAGTCTGGCTTTCCCAGTGGATAGTCCACCAGACCTCTGGCCACACGCCCAATGAGAGTCTGGAGAAACAGGAGAAGGAAACACAGGTCAAAGTGTTTGCAATATTTGCCTTTACGGTCAACTTCACATTCCCTCGCTGTGAAATGGCTGCACGCACGGCCTCGCCAAGTCAGGGCGTGTGACACTTCCTTCTCCAAAAGTTTGTGAAACCTAAACCCTGCCCTGCTCTCCCATGACAGAGGTGAGAGCAAGGCGTGAAGCCAGGATCTCTGCCAGCTTCCACAGCCCCCTGGCCAGCTGCACATGGCTGAAGGAGACCTTGCTGAAGCTGAGGGAAATCTCCCAAGCACAGATGGAAGGAGAAGTTGCAGGACTCACATTCAAGTCCACCTCGAGAACTGGGGAGTTACCAGGGGAAGGCTGGACATGGTGGATGCTGCTCAGCAAATCCAGGGCACCAGTGCTGGGGGAGAGGAAGGGATCAGCGATTCCTTGTTGGACTCGGCTGCAATCCCCCTCCCCTACCTGAAGTTCCTATTCATCCAGGAGAGCCTGGCTTTCAAGTGGGCTCTGGGCAGGGAGCTCCTGCAGACCCCTGCTCCTGGCAGATCTGGGTGGAGCAGAGGAGGGAAAGGTGTCCCAGTCATCCCTCAGCTGGAGTGGGTGACACACGGCACAAGGCAGGACAAGGCGTGGGACCCACTGTGTGCTCACACTGCAAGAGTCCCAGCTGGTCACTGACGAGTCCCAGGACAATGCTGAGCACTGGGCAGAGCTGCAAGAGCTGGGGAAGGTCGGTGAGAACCCACATTCAGAGCCAGAGAAGGACACACAGCCCTGCTTGGCTCTGCCAGGCTTTCCCTGGGCATGGGAGCACTGGGCAACTGGAATGGTAGCCCTGCCCTGGAACTGGCTCTGGGCATCTTCCTCAGAGAAGTGGGGAGACCCAGCAGCTCACGGGGGATGGCTAGAAAGACTCTGGGGCTTTCAGGAGGAGGAGAGATTCCATGAGTCCATAGCACAGTCCAGGACATCATTAGGAGCTCTCAGCATTTGGGCAGACCTCACATTGGGAAGGAAGGAGAAGCTTCTCCCAAGCTGGAATGTGTCTCCCACTAATCCCAAGGTACTGGGTGGATGCAGCAGCCCTGGGACAGAGGCTCTGCTCCTGCTCCAGGCACCAGTGATGTCACAGGGAGCTGCACCACATCTTTTCAGACTCATTGCTCCTTCCCAGAATGTTTTATTTTTCCAACTTACCAGATTAGGAAGAAGTCTGTTCAGGACACTTGCCAATAAATTATCCACAATTGGGAGCAGGCTGTGGAAAAATAAAGGAGCACCATGAAAACAACCTGCTGCAAAGTAAATGGGTCTTGTTAAACAATTCCCTGTGAATAGCGTGGAGCACAGACCTCCCGGAGCAAGGCAATTGCAGCAGCAGAGTGAATCGTTTCTGCTTGGATTTTGCATGAGATAACTGTAATTTGCATCCCAAAATAGCCGATGGGAAATTTGTTGCTGCCTTTTATCTGCTAGTGTATAGTCTCCTCAAATGAGCAGAGAAAATCTCAGGCTGAGCAGTTCCTACACTACGTGCTCACGTCTCAGAAGACCCCCACACCCTGTTTATTAAAATAACCTCTGAACGTGGCACAGGGGACAGAATTGTGCCCTGAGATCTCTGGGACAGCACACCACTGACTGTGGCTGTGTGAGGGGGGCACAGGGACCAGCACCACCAGCCTGTGACATGGCTGGGGAGTGGCTGTCACCTCCAGGCATGGTGACAGGGAGAGCTGTAACAGGGAAATGCCCTGGCACTTTTGCCATTGGCAGGGTGTGGGTTGGGGTTGGCAGAACTTGACGGTGAGCTGGCTCCTGCCAGCAGGGGACACCTCGTCACTCAGCCTCTCAAGGAGTCTGATTTTAATGCCACCAAAGAGCCACAGCACCAGCCCTTGCCCAACCCACCTCTTGCCCTTGAGGGCACTCGAGTGTAGGGGTTGAGGTAAGCAGCCGTGCCAGGCAGGAGCTGCGGGGACAGCACGAGGGACAGCACGAGGGACAGCACGAGGGACAGCACGAGGGACACTGCGAGGGACAGCTCCCAGCCCAGCCGGGCTGCACCGCTGGCACACAGCCATGCAGGGGATGGGGGAGTCAGAGGCCCGTCAGACCAGATGTGCCAAGAGACACGGAATTTTCTCATTTATTTTCCTGTTTCAGTTACTTTCCAGTTTTATCAGAGGCTTGGTTCTTTTGCCTTGCTTTTCCTTGTGCTCCTGTGGATGGAGCCGCGGCCAGCGCGGTTCATGCACCCTCCATGGGCAAAGGCTCCTGTGCCACCTGCTCTGCCCGTCCCTGCCCGCCCCGGGAGCCTCCTCTGCCCTGCAAACCTGCCAGGCTTCCAGAGCTTTCTCCTTGCAAGAGCCTGACCAGCTGAAATGTTAATGCCATAAACAAAACGACACCCGACTCAGTTTGGAGAGGGAGGTTTGCTCACAAGCATCGCGCTCTTCCCCTTCCCGATGAAATTCCTCTCCCTTTCCTGGCTGATCGTGGTGCTGCTATGAGGGCGTCAATCCCAAAGGACCCTCAGTGGTTCCTGTCTTCCACAGTGGCACTTCTGACCCACCAACACTCAAAACTCCTTTACTTTATTCCTTTATTCCTTTACAGCCCAACCTAAGCCTACCTCGCTCTCAGGTGAGTTGTACTAAATAAGGCTGAAATTATATCAGTGACTCACACTGGTCTTTGTTATTTAAATGGCCCATTTTTAGCCTTATAATGGTAAAAATAACCAGAACCTCAAAAGGATGTCACTACAGAAAACTTCCTTGAACTTCTATGTTAAATGAATGGATTTTCAGAAAAGGGTTTTCATTTTGCTATAACGACCTATTTTCTGATTTTTCAGACTAGTCACTAAATATTAACTAGAATTACTCACCTTCATTCCTACTATTGTTGCATTTATTTCCATGTTTATTCTTGGCTCAGTGGAGCCAATATCATGAGGTTTGGGGGTAAAACAGAGGCTCTAAGCCCCCAAGTTCACAGTACCTTTTACCACTTTTTAAACTCTTTTTCATTACCTGACCTTATCCTGAATTTCAATCCTGGCTTTGCTCAGCTCCTCCTAAAGTGAGACCTTATGCTGTTTTAACCCACACAGCAGATCCTTCTATAGTGAAGGTGCTGCAGGAAAAATGGAAAGGTGCTTGAATTTCCAAAGCTGGCTAGTGGATTGAGGGCGTAAAGCACCCTTTGTGAGTGTCATATATTCCACTATGAATAATGATTTGTAAACCTGAGAAAAGCATTGAGCAACAGGTTACTGGACACTGGATACTGCCAGTATCAGGCAGCACTGTTCCCAAGAGGCCAGGGCAAAGGGGAAGGAAAAGGTGTGTGAGACTCCGTGGCTGCAGCACGTGAGGCTGCACTGACCTGCAAGAGCTGTGCTGGGAAATCAGCTTCTTCCATGGAAATCCCTGCTGACACCTGCCCCCAGGCTGGCATGCACAGGTTACCGCATCAAGGGGAAGTTTTTAAGTTTCCAGCAAATGCATGGGGAGGCTTTGGAATAGTACCAGGAGATTTTTGCCTCCTTTACTGCTCGAGAAACCTTGAGAAGTGGTTCCTGAGGCATGTCCCACCCATCCTGCAGCTGCCAGCTCCTTCCCAGCAGTGTTTCCTCCAAAAAACCCATGGGCTGGGACACCTCCATGGCCACTCCTGGCCATAAGGGCACCTTTGTTCTGGTGCCCTCACCACTTAATACCTTTGTGAGAGCAAAAGTCCTTTTTTTGACAACCTGGTGCGTCTTACACAACAAGGGGATAATACACACCTAAATAAATCCCTATGGAGTGTGTGCTCACGTTATCTGTGCCTGGCTCTGGACAGAGCCTTGCACAGCCAGCACAGCAGGCTCCATGCAGGACCTGCTGCCAGCAGGAGCTGCTCCAAAGGGCTCCAAAGGAGAGGGAGATATCAGCAAGGGCTGTGCCAGCACTGCATTGCAAGCTCCCCTCTGCCCCCATCTCAGGCATGAGAGATGGGCTGCAGCAGGGCACCCACGTGCACCCAAACCAGTGCCCCTCTGAGAGGCTGTTTCACACCTGGTGCCACAGGCTGAGCTTCAGAAATGCTCTCTTTAGGTCCCAGTTTGTCCTCTGAAGGCACAGCCTCCCCACCCAGAGGAGTGTGGAGCAGGCAAACAGGTGTGGGGAGACAGAAACTCATAGGAAAAAATATCCAGAGGGGAAAATACTGTGACAGTGAAAGATTTTATTGAAAGAGCAATATGAGAGCAACCTTTGTGCCTGAGAGCTCTGTCTTCTGGCTATGGATGTTAAAAGTGGCCACAGGAACCCCCAAATATCCACCAGCCGAGCAGCTTTCCCACATGATGCTGGCCAGAGGCTGCTGCCTGTCCTGCTCAGGCCGCAGCCACAGCACAGAGCAGTACTGGAGAGAAAGGAAGAGGGAGAGAATGCAGCAGAGCAGGGCTTGGGGTGCATGTGCTGCCTCAAAAAGGGAACAGCGTCGAGTCTCCTCCTGAGCAGTACCTTCCCAGAGTGGTCTGGTCAGAAAACTCATCCACCTGGAAGAAGAAGAACAAAAACTACTCAGTTTTCTCATTCAGACTTTCACCAGCTTTTTGCCATTCCCAGCAGATGGAAACTGGGAGCAGCCCATGGGAAATGAGGTTGGTTGGCTGGGGTGGTGTGGGGCTGTGGGATTTGCATGTCCCAGCCCTGGTGGGCACATTCCCACTCCCCAGGACACAGCACAGTGGGAAAACTCAATCCTTACGTCAGCAATGTTGACTTCAACGTTCCTGAGGTTGGTGTTGAGGACGTTGGGCAGTGGGACCGACACACGGAAGGCATCTGCAAAAACAGGTGTAAGAATCTCATCACAGGGATGAAACCCGGAATGAAGGCAGCAAGGGGAGGGGGAGAGCCCCAGATCCAGCTGAATCTGAGATAACAGGGACCCTGACCCCATACCTTGAACAAAAGGTACATATACAGCTGTGAAGACCTTCTTGAGCCATTCTGCAAGTGCAGAGGCCTGCAGGGAAGAGGATGTGTCAGAGCAATGGTGATTGGGCCATGCCAGGGTTATCAGTGACTTCTACTCAATTTGCTATGAAATACAAGAACTAGGAAGCTTCCTTCAGTGAAACGCTCCCAAGACTGAGGGTGGATATGCTCTTTGGGTAATTTCTTTTTAATTATTCCTCCCCCATTCCCAGCACCCCCAAGTGAGGAGATACACCCAAGTGTCACTGCTGTAGAGCACGGGGGATCTGCAGGGCAGAGGGAAATTGCCCTCTGCCAAGAGAAGTAGAAGGATGAAAACTGAAGAATTAGCTTGTGAATTTCTCCCCCACACAGAGCCTCTGGCCATTGCATCACTCACTGCAGCACCTCGATCCAGTGCATGCACTTACTCTGGAAATATCAAGACTCCGGGGGAACTGTGTCAGGTTGATGCTACAAAAGATAAAAACAAGGAAGAGTTGGGGTGTGTTGGTGCAGTCACCCACCCCCACAAAGATACAGGATTTTAAAATTAGAACAACTTGTTTACAATTCTCTCATCATGTCAACCATGCAGTTGGTCTGAGGCTGGGGCTGGGAGGAGGCAGGAAGGCTCCAGCAGCCATTGACATCTTTACCATGTCTACATCACTGTCCCCCACCAGCCCCATTTGTCCCCAGGCAGAGCCCCCCACCCACAGAGCTGAGCTCTACCTGTCAAGAGCCAGGGAGGTTTGCAGTTTGCCATCAGAGACTGATGGGTTGATGTTCAGACCGACGTCCTGGAAATGGAACAATGAAAGAAATGAGGTTATTCCCCTGCACAGCTCCCAAGACTGAAAAGTGTATTTGTAAATTACCCATTCTGAGAAAAAACACTTGTCTGTGCCGAGAAGACACATTTTTGTGACAGATGGCATCATGTATTTCTCTCCCCAGGGTTCGCCTTCCTGTCTTTATTTTGTGTTATTCCTGAAACATTTCACTTACTCTTTATGCTTTGTTATGAGCTTGTTTAAAGGACTGGGCATCACCGTTTTGATGATCAGTAAATACAAAAGTACAAATGCTGCAGGGCCAAGGGTAGGGCAAGCCAAGGGGATGCCAGCAGCGATCCAGCCTCAGCCAGCACCCTGTTACAGTCATCTCACCCCACAGGAGCTCACTCACCGCATTGAGGGAGAACAGGAGCCCCTGGGGGGTCTGCAGGGCAGGACTGGCGACGTCGATGGTGGGTTTGAGTGTGACAGTGGCTCTTCCATCCCTCACAGTCACTATTGGCTTTTTGTTTACTCGGACACGCAGCTCCAGTGGCAGAGAGCCAGGGAGGGCCCGGGTGAGCTGCAGGGAGAGAGGAAGTCAGGGCAAGGGTGGGGTGAGAGGTGGGGTTGGAATCGATGCACATGGAGAAGGTGACAGACCTCGGGGATGAACGGGAAAAGGGCAGACATGGTCAGCGAGCTGCTCTGGGGAACCTGTGGGAACAGCACCGGTGACATCTCTGCCTGGGAGGGGTTGTGCAAAGCCCACTCTGGGCTCAGCTGGACCCCACAAACACAAGCAGGCAAAGGTGGGTGCCCTTGGGTCACCCGAGAGCAAGCAGGACACTGACCTGGCTTTGCAGAGGGAAATTGTTACCCATCAGGCTGGTGATGCTGCGGTTGAGGGCTCCCTGCCCCTGGACCTGCTCCAGCAGGGCGCTGAGGGTGTCCTGGGCGAGGCTGAGCCGGGGCCGGCGGCCGGTGGCCAGCTGCAGGCTGGCAGTGAGTGGCAGTCCCTGCACAGGGGCCATCAGGCCATCCCTGGAGTTCTCAGAGAGGAGCTGCAGGACACAGAGCAGGGAGGGGCGTTGGTGGGGCTCAGAGGATTGCACTGGGCACCCTGACTGCCTGTGCACCTCATGGAGAGGCTCACATGAGGTTTGTCAGCATTAAATGGTGACAAAGCTGCTCCAGGCTGCTCTGGCACAGGTAAGGGCTGCACCTGCTGCACCTTCCCCACTGAAACACTGCCACATATCCTGACTGGAAAGACACACTGCTGATATTTTATACATGATTCTGGTCCCTGTCAATTACCAAACTTTGACAAACCACTTATAACCAGAGCAAGCCTGTAAGCAGTGACTGCTGCTCCTGTATGAAATTAAACTTTTCTGATTAAAATTATAAGAATGCTACAATTATGCTTAATTAAGTAGCATCAAGCCAGTCTTGCTCATGCCACCATCAAGGATTAACAGGCAAAAAATAAAGTAGAGACACAGCACTGGCAATAGCAGTGATGTGGCTGGAGGAGACTCATTAGAGCCTTCCTGTGAACAGTGCCTGAAGGCTGCTGAAATGTGAGCAGCCTTTGATAAACATCCACCATATTCCAATGAATCAAAGTCAGAGGTTTAGGGACCATGGAACACAGTGGCACTTACATTCAGATCCATCTGGACGGCATCACCACTGAGGATGGAGAAGGAGGGCAGGTCCCCCAGAGCCCCGAGTGGGAGCACCTCTGTGAACACAGGGAAGATAGCTCTTCAGCTGCAATGGCAGGGGATTCTCCCAAATCTCAAGGTTCCAAGAGTTACTAAAACCAGCAGCAGCTCCTGCTCACAGCTAGAAAAGCCACTAGAAAACAACAGTTTGCAACAAAAATGTTTTTTCTAAAAGAAATCATTCCTGTGGTGGGTTTCTGCTGGAAGAGCTGGCTGCTGCTCCTGGGGGAGGGAAACTGAATGTTGGGTTTGATCTGGGAGTTGTGGTTTTAGAAAATCGCTAAAATATTTGTATTTACCTAATGTAAAAAGGCAAGCAACGCTAAGGGCAGGATGTCACAGGGGAGAGGAACAGGACGTATCAACTTACGGTTCCCGGAGCCGAGCAGGGAGCTCAACACCTTGACCTTGGCGTTGATGATGTTGCAGCCCTGGGGAAGCAGAGGGGAGTGAGAGGGTCCTGGGACCTGCTACACCAGTGGGTGACATGGCACTGGCACAGCCAGTGACAGCGGGCTCTGCTGGCTGCACATGTGGGCAGAGCTGCTGCAGGCGGTGCTGGGGGCACATCCCATCACACAGGACTCAGAATCATGTGGGTGAGCGGCGCCTCTGAGCCAGCGTGGGTCTCACCTGGGTTAGTGGCTGCTAAACCAGCACCTGGCTCAGAAATCTGTTTGCCAGCAGAGCCTGGCACAGGTGATGGCGCTGGTGCCTTTCAGCAGGGGGAGAGGCTGACTGCCCCGCTGAGCTCACAGCTGTGCAAATATCCACATCCATGGGGCAGCCTGGCCTCCTGCCTGCCCTGCCCATGCTGCCTGCCCTGCCCGTGCTGCCTGCCCTGCCCGTGCTGCCTGCCCTGCCCCTGCTGCCTGCCCTGCCCGTGCTGCCTGCCCTGCCCCTGCTGCCAGCCCACCCAGCACTGTGCTGGTGGGTCACATGAAGGTGGCTCTGCAGACTCACCAGATCCTGCAGGGCATTGCTAAGGAAGCGTTTCAAAGGCTCTTCCAGAACTGGCACTCTGGGTCTGGTAACAGGAAAATAGGAAATAGCAAGTGACAAAGATTAATGCTGGAAAGTAAGGGACTTCACACAAGAGAAACATGAGGCTTCACTTGCTTTGTCCTTACTCAGTGCCGAAACATTACCATTCCCAAACTTTCTGAATCCTGCCCAGTGTCAGGTTCCCCGCACCTAGAAATGTTCTTTTCTTAGCCAAAATTTTATAAGAAGGTCAACAGTTCCCCTCTGAGCCCGACAGCTGGATCACCTTCAAGGCACCAGGCAGAAAGGTGCTGCCATCAATGACCAACAGCACCAAGGTGTCCCACTGCCACAAGAGCCACGGGCTGGCCATGGCCCACCCGCTCACCCAGATGTTCCCTCACACCTGATTCATACCTCACATAGGTGTTTATGTCAACAGTCTTGCAGTGCAGAGCTTTCTGGTGAGGCGTCCACGTGTCCTGGACCACCATGGTCGCATCTACCTCCAGCTGCTTGCAGAGTGGCTGGCCTGGCATGCTGCCCAGGGGAAGCACAGCAGGCAGCTCAGACACTTGCTGACCATCTTCTTTCCAAAGAGATGGTGACCCCCTGCCCCAAGCCATGCCCCTGATGGACATGCCCTACCTGCTCTCTACCAGCAGCTGCGTGTTGAGGTCCACCTGGTGCCCAAAGCCCGGCAAGGAGCGCAGACTGATTTTGGGGAGGGTGTTGTTCACAATTCTCAGTCTGGATGGTTGAAACAAGGAAAAAGCAGTGAACAGCACATTCACACAGTCCTGTCCCCTCAGCCCTGTCCCCTCAGCCCCCAGCACTGCAGCTGTGCCCTTGGGATCCTCTTCCCCCTGGGCCATCAGGCATCCCCACCAGCCAGGAGCAGCTTGTGGCACATACAAGGCACCCCGGGGTGCCAGGCAGAGGCAGAAACTCCCAACAGATGAACCCCCATTTATGAACCCACCCCAGGAGAGGAGGGAGGGAGCCCTGTGTGTGCAGGCTCCAGAACAGGACCTCCTTTCCCCAGCATGGCTCAGACACACCGGGACGCTCAGGGCCACCGTCTCCCACTCACACTCACCCTATGAGTTCTTCACCATTTCTACCAAGAAGGCTGCCGATGAGACCGTTTCTGCCAAGGAGACCATTTTTGCCAATGAGAAGGTCAAGGACGGTGTCAAGGAGAGTATCAACAAGGCCGTCTTTGCCAAGGAGACCATCAACGACACCACCTTTGCCAAGGAGACCACCGAGGATACCGTCTTGGTCAAGGAGACCACCAACTACACCACCTTCGCCAAGGAGACCACCTAGGAGACCATCTCCACCCAGGAGACCATTTCCACCAAGGAGACCTCCAACAGGACCACCTCCTCCAAGGAGGCCACCAAGGAGACCACCAACAGCACCGTCTTTGTCAAGGAGACCACCAACAGCACCATCTTTGCCAAGAAGACCACCAACAACACCGTCTTTGCCAAGGAGACCGCCTACAGGACCATCTTCACCAAGGAGACCACCAACAGCTCCATCTTTGCCAAGGAGACCACCAACAACACCGTCTTTGCCAAGGAGACCGCCTACAGGACCACCTTTGCCAAGGAGACCACCAACAACACCGTCTTTTCCAAGGAGACTGCCTACAGGACCACCTTTGCCAAGGAGACCTCCAACAACTCCATTTCTTCCAAGGAGACTGCCGACAGCGCCCTCTTTGCCCAGGAGACCCCCAGCGATTCCATCCTTGCCAAGGAGACCGCCAAGCAGATTGCCACCAAGGAGACCACTCGGAGCTCTCTGGGGAACAGCTTTGGCTGGTGGATCTCTAAAACCTGAAGAACAGGATCAGAGGTCACTGTGAGCTACGTGGACTCAGCATACAAGGTGTGCCAGCCTGGTTCTTCCCTCCGCTCCCTTCTCCCACTGTATACAAAAGAAGTGGTGGCACCATCCTCTGTAAAGTAACCGAAGTGCCATGTCCAAAGTGCTTTATAAATGCAAATTACCTGCATTGCCACTACTGCTGGGCAGCTCTGCACCAGCTTCTGATTTTCTGAGTATGGTCAAGAGACAAAAATAGCAGAACTGGCTTCAAAAGAAGGATAAATCCTGTCTCTTATGTACACTTACCATTCATATCTGGTCTGGCAACCAAGAATGGGATTCCAAATCCTTGTGAAGGGATCAGCAGGCTGTTGAGCAGGACAACAGCCCACAATACGGACATCTTCGGTCCTGATAACTGTAGGAAGTGATTGCCATGAGTGCAGTGCTGGGAGAGCGAGCACCAGCCCGTGGAGGGAGGAAGGAGAAGGGAGGAAGGAGGAAGGAGAAAGAAGGAATGCCTGTCAGGGAAGAAAAAATCGGGGAGGAGGCTGCTGGCATCTCCTCCTCATCACACTGGTGCTGATGGACAGTAACCCTCCTGGTGGCACTTTCCTGCAGGAGGAACCAGAGTGTCAACACCAGTTACTCCAAAGACCGGCGGCCAGAGCAGTCCAGGGGAGAGCAAAGGCTTGTTGGGATGTTCCTGCTGTGACCCCCTGGCCAGTGCTGGTGAGCACTGGCGTGACTGAGCTGTGTGATTTGGGACTCATCCATCCTGGATGGGGATTTCTCCAAGAAACACATCCTGAATGCTACAGAAGGGGAAAACAAGACATTTCTGACAACATGATTGTCTCTGGAAAAAGAGCAACAACATCTACAGAGTACAAATACACGAACATAGCAAGCAAGGAGAGAACCTCCAGGGAGAATGTCACGATTTCTGCACAAACATCAGATTCTGAGGCTTCCCTCTGCATGGAAACTCCTGATAGAATTGTAAGAAAGAGAAAGCAA